CCCCACCCCCCTCCCCTCTAGAACCCTCAGGTTGTTTCTCAGAATCCATAGTCTCTCATGGTATTTCTTAACTTTTAAAATTATTCTGTATTGTTATTTTTTCTCATTCTAAATATTCACTTTCATGCCCAATTTTATATTCCTAGTTTTACATTTTCTTTTGATAATGAGGCCCCCAGATTGAATAAATGAGAGGCCCAGGCCATCTGGACACACTCTTGTTGATCCATACATGAGGTCCTCTAATGGCACCCAATGCTAAGAATCAGTATGATATCAGTTAATTGTCTGGAGTATTGGTTTTGCCACTTTATATAATGTATCTGTTGGTCATTCCTTCTTCTAGTTTCATAAAATATAACAGAATTCTGGTTTCTGTTCTTCCTTTTTTCTCTAATATCCACAGTATTTCAGGTTCCTCCCTAATCGCTCTTCCTAAATTTGAGACATGTAACTTCTGAGATTTCCATTAGGCACGCCAGTAGACAGGTGCAATGGGGTCTGGGCAGGACATGTGCACTGCGGGTTATCAGGGTAGAAATGCTGTGCCAGATGGGTAAGACCTCTTATATAGGAGGAGCTGGCCAGGCCTTAGACATGAGCGAGGGCAGCCATCTCCAGAATAGGGCTGCCAGTGGGTATTTGCAAAGCTGACAGACTTTGTAAGTAGGAAACAGAATTATCAATTAAGATTAAGGATGAGAAGTATTTATTAATTTTGAGAGAAAGGAAGGTTTAACCTAGGTTTGTTAGATTAGACAAAAGGACAGAATTCTTTGAGACAGAATTAAAGACTTTCTTGAAGTGCAAGCTCAAAATTCAATACCTGGTGAGATTTTTCCAGCTGCATTCAGCTACACTGCAGTCTTAGGGTTGGAACTCAGGCAATCATTTTTGCCCAGAGTCAGATAAACGAGAGCAGTGGGAGAGGACAGGCCTATGGCTGTCATGAGGGTCAGTACCACTGCAGTCCTCTGTACAGTCTTCTCCTCTGCCTCTCTTCTTGCCCTGCACCTCTCCAGCCCACTGCCCAGGCCTTGTTGGAATGGGCTGTCTCTACCCCAGGATCTTGGCAGCAGCCCCGGAGCATCACCCACCCCATCCCTCCAATCCTGTCTCACGCTGCAGTTAGAAGACTACTTTGAAAAAGGCAAACTCAGTCACTGCTCAGGCTTGAAATCCTTAGGAGGCTCCTTTCTTCTTCAGATAAGTTTTATGTTCCCTATTCTTGTCTTCATGCTTCCCCCATGCAAACATCAGCATTAGCTTCCATACCCAAGCAAATTACAGATATACTGAACGTTTTTTAGTTGTTTAAATGACACATATTTCTTTGTACACCTGGACAAGTTTACACATTGCTTTCTATGCCCACAATGCCCCCTTCTTCTCCCATTTACCAAACCCCAATCCCAACCAAAACACATCATCTGAACGCTTTAATGATCATTTATATTTCAAGTTTATTTAAGGCCTCCTTCAAAATGTCCTTCCTAAATTCCTTAGTCAGCTAGGCTTTTTGTGAACTCGGCCCTCCTGTCCAGTTTCACTGAATCCCTAATACCTAGTTGATTGAGTGCTTGGCACATAGAGAGTACTTCATGACTATTTGTAATATGAATTAATTCATAAAAATGCATTCACATATCGATTGATGAATTGCCAATCTTCACAGCATCCTATGCTTTGTTAGCTCCACTGAACAGAAGAAATTGAAGTTTTAAAGTGCCTAATACATTTGCAAAGGGTAATGTATTTAGTAACAGAGTTGTCATTTTTTGCCAAGACTCTTGTTCTGAAAATTTTGTTCTCTCATCACCTGGTTGGCTTTCTCATTTTCATTTCTTTCTAATTTATCAATGCTTATCCTGACAGAGAAAGAGGTAATATAGTATTTAAGAGCACAGATTTTTGAGATAGACTGCAAGATTCAAATCCTTACTTCTGGCATTTACTAGCTATTGTGACCTTGAGCTATTTACTTAAAATTTCTTTGCCTTGGTTTCCATATATGTGAAATGGGAATAACAATTGCTTCATAATGGTGTTGTAAAGATTAAATAAATTATTTTATCAAGAAACTGAGAACAATACCTGGCACATATGTGTAAACTATATCTACTGGGTAACTAATTATTGCTTCATTTTTTTTATTACTGGTATAGCTTCATATCAGAAGAGAGAGGAGAGGGTTTTCTCTATTAGTGGTACCAGGCCAGATGTTCTGTTGTCCAGATCATTAAACTGTGCCTTTAAATTTGCCTTTTCCAAGAGATCCCTTTCTGGAGACTGAAGTCTACAATCCATACATCTGCACAGGACTGTTAACTCATGACAGTAGATGGCTGGGTTACGGAACACCCCTTTCAAAATTGCTTCCCAGACCCAACTCTCTGAGGCTGTACTCCTTGTCAAGCCAGTCATCCTCCAGGCACTGATCTGAATGCAGGAAAGGTATCCATTTAACACTGAGTCTTATGTCTACTCCTCTATTCTTGTGCTATATGAATTTTTCATTTGGTGAAAAAGCAGCAAATTTTGTGTGTTGAATGTAAATCCATGAAGCACAGAAAATTAGTGTTGTATTGATTAATGGTAGGAGAACTTTCTTATTTATATATCACAAGTAAGAGTAAAATTAATTTTATTGAGTATCTAAAAATATTTATCTACAGGCCTTTAACTTAAGTAAAAAATTCCCCAAAGCAACTAATGAGCTTATAGGAAATTTTATGAGAAAAGAAAAATGAGAAGTGCTCTTTGATTTTAATTTGGGCAGAGAGCAAATGCATGGGCACTTCTAGGTATTTGTAATGGCAGCATAAGTATGGATTTTCTAGGAAGGAATTTAGATACCTAAACCTAACATCTTGAAGGTGTTGAAATATTTTCCACCCAGGATTTCCAAAACTCAGAATTTAGATTAAAAGAAATAACTAGAAAGTTACATAAAAGTCTGTGGGCAAGCATCAATTCTTTGCTATCTATTTGTGTGTGTGTGTGTGTGTGTGTGCCTTCATGTTAACTTAATGTCTGTGTCACCCTAATATGTAAGCTAAATGAAAGAAGGGACTTTTTCTGTTTTTTTTTTCCCCAGCCATATATGGTTATTATAATAAGCACTTAACAGATTACCTGATATACGTCAAATATTCAACCACTATCTCTTATATAAATCAGTCATTATTGTGATGTCTGATAAAACAAATGAGGAAGCAAGTAAACAGCTAAATAAATATGGCCAAAAGATGGGATAGATTAAACCTACCAAAAGGTCCAGGTTTTTTTTAAGTATATTGATTGACATAAAAAAAACTCAACATTTTTACATGAGAAAAAGTTACAAACCATATAATCCTAATATTGCAAAAAAATTTTTAAGAGAAAGTATAGAGTGGTTACATGGAGCCACACATAGTTCTTATTCTCTCTTTTAAAATTGTCCTTATTTCAAGTAATACAATAAACTGCATTATTTTTAAATGCTGAATCAGCTTTTTTTTTTTTTTTTTTTTTAATTAAGAGAGGCTTATAAAGACCATGTAGCTACTTGGAAAATGACTAGGAAATAATTTAAATTGAAATAAGGACATAGAAATGCATCCTGGATTACTACTATGAAAAAGTTACATTAATGTAAGGCTAATGAATTGAAAAATAAAACTGACTTGTAGAGTAGTTTCTGGGTTTTTTTATCTTTTCTTTCTTTCCCTCTCTCAGTCCCTTCCTTCCTTCCTTCCTCCCCAACTTCTTTCCTTCTCCCCTCTCTCTCTTTAATTCTTTCTTCTTAATTCCACCAGGTTTTTTTTTTTTTTTTGTAAAAATTTCAATTAGAATCTCATTCAATTAGATTAAATTAGAATTCCATTAGCTGTTTGGTAATTATTTAAAAAACTGGAGTCGGGTATTTTCTCCTTTTCTTCAGATACCCCTACATCTTTTAGGAGTTGCCAGGACCTTCTTTATTAACAATCAACTCAAGTACATCAGAGTTGTTCTTCCTCCAGCAATCCCTAAATAGAACTAAAACCATACACAATGATGAGCTAACAATGACCTATATTTTTATTTAGCTCTTGTGCTACTATGAATGTCAGTTTTAATCTAAGATTATTTTATAGGGAAGAAAAATTATGAACATTTCTGAGGTAATAATATTTTTTTGTTTCTCTGCCTTCAGATACTTTTGATACATTTCATTTATGTTGTAAATGTTCCATCATTTTCTACTGAGTCTTTAACTAGAAGAAAATAATTGACATAAAATGCAGGGAACTTAGTTTTCCTTGGCTACACGAACAAGGTCTACCTTAACAAGGATTTAATTATCATCTATAGTACTTCCAAGCTTACAGACCTCAGAGTAAAAACTGAATGCATATTTTATTTAGGTTTTATTCCCATTTTGCTTCTTAAAAATGGCTACAGAAACCATTTGGAATTTTACAGAATTCTTGATGACTGCCCATTCCAATTATCTTGTGTATGGCCAGAATTTTAATTGATTTATGACAATTATAAATTTTTCTACATACTCAGATAGATAACCTAACTCTGAGATTAAAAAAAAAAAATCTTTCTTTGCACAGGCCTTTATATTTTCTGCATTTTCTAATTCCAAGTCTTCTCTAAGACTTTTTCTTTTGTATTTTACCTAAAAAAAAGAAAAACAAACAAAATAAAACAAGTATGGTAATAATTGAGGTTTAAATTAAGACTATTTTCAATTGAACTTTCTATTTCTCCCTCAATGAACTCCTACTAAGCTTCTTCCTGTTCCTCTCCCCAGACAGAGGGACTACAGAATCTGCTTAGTAATTACTTAAACTGATATGAGGGTGCTTATATACTTCTCTGCATTCTATCTTTTATACATGTTTTTTCTTTTCTTTATCTTTATCTTTTATATCCTTATATCATTTGTTTTCATGAGCTATTTATGAGCACAGAACCATTGAAAAGGAAAAGACATGAAAATTTTCACTACCTATTGTTCATACCTTGAGAATCTTGCACATAATCTCATAAACTGAAAATGTTTTCTCTGCTCGGGTCCAGTCCCATGTTGTCACCTTTAAAAGATGAAAAACTAATATGTCATTTGTATTAGAAAGATAACCCTGATTTCCCTCTTTCTTTTACTTACATAATATGGTGCACAGTGAAACTTTCCCACACGTACTATATAGTCTCATTTGTGGAGTTATTTTTATAGAGGTCCATGTGTGGCATTTTGGTTTCCTCTCTTCTACATTTTATTACCATTTCTTTTCCTCTTTCAGCAAATGTTTTATGTTATATGTAACAATTTCCATTTGCCCAATGTACTTAAATATTTTAAATAATGTATGTATTACCTACGTATAAATACTAAGTATTTATATTTCACACATATCATAATTTTGCCACCAGTTATATACAAAGCAGAATACTAGATATCAATGGAGGCTTTAAGTTTTTAAAAAGACATAGTTTATATAGGGAAGTTATTTCAAGATGTAAATGCCTTATAACATTGTGAAGACACCAAACACTACAATGAAGTTATTTCACTTTCTTATGTTTAAAACATATATTTGTTTGTCTAGTCATAAGAAATTATTCAGAGTAGGAATATAGTAAAATATATAAATATTGATGGCTTTTTTCTTGCCTTGGGTGCTTTGAACTTTGTGTAGACATAGTCATTCAAAATAGCAGCAGGTCAGGCTTGATATTTCCAAGACCCTATGTAATATTAGACTTGTAAGTGAGTGATCTGGCATTTGATATTTATACTCAATAATTATTTATTGCGAATCTACTAGAATCTACTATTGTATAAGGTACATGTTTCCAAAAGAAAGACCTTAGGTGCAATAAGTACCCATACATATTTAATACAAAGACCAATGACTAGCATACAGGATATCAAAATGCTATTTTTTTTCATTTTGGCAACCATAAATGCCTAAACAGAAATGCCTTCCAGGGTTACAAAATAAATATTTAATGTCAGAACATATATCTTTAGGAAGGTATTTTCAGAAACATCTGAACTGTTTTCTATTTTTTTTCTGTATTTTATTTTTAAAATATATTGGTAATATGCTATTTACTATTATTAAATTGATGTCACTCTGTCATGATAATGTGGGAAAAGTAAAAAAAAAAAACATTAGGCAAAGACACTTACTGGAGGTGCCAGAAATTTGTAAAGACATGATCCCCTCAGGGCTAGAAATGTTGGTGAGTACACACGATCTTGTAGAGGGTCTTGCTCCCGTGCTTCACACCAGCCCATGTAGACTATCTGCAAGAAGATTGAACATGATGAACAGTCAAAAAAAAGTCTCATTTCAGATGTGTACTTTTCATATCTTGGGTATTTTAATTCTCTCATAAAATTAGCAAATTAAGTGATGCAAAAAATACATTAGCTTCCAATAAATGAATGTGAACCACTCCTAAGAGTTTATGTTTCCATCAGCATTATGAGGTGTTTGGTGTTTATGTGATACAACTTGGCATAAATTATATCTCCCACTCTCTACCATTCCAACTATAAAAATGTTTCTTCATAATAAAATTTATTGACTTATCCTATCAGTTTCCCAATTAGTGGCCTTTTACTATGGAAATGTGCTCCCAGGACAAAATATTTAAGTGGGAAAAGGAGATGAGTCAAAGACAAGTACCTTGTGTGACTACCACTGCTGTGGTGTACTACACCTCCCCTCTACCTGACAGGATGGGATGACAACTCTTCTTGTTTTAGTCACGAATCTAAGATGAATATAGTTTATTCAAACATTATTCATATATCAAATGGCAATGACAACAGCTCTTTTGTCTCTAGATCTTAAATATTGGCGGGTCAATTTCCAAAAGGAAATCATGTGAAATAAGCCACTCCTCCTTCAATCATTTGATTGTTGTGAAGCTCAAACATAAACATAAACATTTATTCAATGAGTTTTATATTCCTGACAATGTATTCATATGTCATTTATCTCTCACTGCAACTCTATATGGTAGAAGTATCTGGGAAGATATATTTCCCACCTCATGTAACTTACTTTGGTTTTATGGTTGACAGGATGTTCTTTCCTGTTCTTAGACATTTTCTTTCTTTCTTTTTTTTTTTGCTATGAGATCTGTTATGACTAATGGGATATTAATGCACATGACACAAGTAGAGTTGGACTTAGTATCTTGTGCTTCTGCCATTACAATGAGAAAACCATACCCAACCTACGTGGAGTCAGCCAGAGCCAAAACTACCTCCTGGACAAAGTTTAGCCAAGTTCAGTCTAAAGGCTAATTCAAAACAACCAGTTCACTTGCAGAGAGAAATAAAACACAGATAAATAGATTTCCCATTTTCATGGGTTAGAAAAATTATTTTAAAAAATATTCATAATATCCAAATTGACCTACAGATGCAATACCATCCCTTTCAAAATTCCAATGGCATTCCTTATAGAAATAGAAAAATTATCTTAAAATTCATATGGTACCACAAAAGACCCTGAGTAGCCAAAGCAATATTGAGCAAGAACAAAGCATTGTACTTTATGATTTAAAATATATTACAAAGCAATAGTAACCAAAATATAAGATATGGGCATTAAAGCAGATATATAGAATGGAGCAGAAGCAAGAGCCCAGAAATAAATTCAGGGTCAACTGATCTCTGACAAAGATGCAAGAATGCTCAATGAGGAATGGATAGTCACTTGAATAAATAGCCTGGGAAAACTGGATAATCACATGCAGAAGAATGAAATTGGATCCTTATCTCACCATAGACAAAAATGAATTAAACTCAACTCAACTCAAAATGAATTAAAAACTTAAATGTAGGCCCTAAAACAATAAAACCACAAGAAATACAATTTTAAAACATTATGCATTTCCTGTGTATATCTCCCAAACTGGCTACAATTAAAAAGACAGGAAGTGACAAATTTTCATGAGGACATGTAGCAATGTAAAAGCTCATATAAAGCTGGTAAGAGTTTGATTCTTCACTTCTAATATCAACTCAACACAAATGTGTATACATGTGCACTGAAGCACATGTATAAAGATATTCATGTAGCAGGGCGCCTGGGTGGCTCAGTCGGTTAAGCATCTGCCTTTGGCTCAGGTCATGATCCCATGGTCCTGGGATGGAGCCCCATGTCAGGCTCCCTTACTCAATGGGGAGTCTGTTTCTCCCTCTGCCCTTCTCTCTGCTTGTGCTGTTTCTCTTTGTCAAATAATAAATAAAATCTTTAAAAAAGAATATTCATGTAGCGTTATTCTTCCTAGTTCCAACTATGTACCAGATAGTTTGAGATATTAAAATGTGTACCCTAAAAATATTTTATAGATAAAAATAGCAATAAATTGTGGTATAATAAAGTAATAGTACACAACAAGGAAAATTACTAAATTATAGTTACATGGAAAAACACAAATGAATCTCACAGAACATATGCTATTTGAAATAAGTACATATGGAATAATAAATACACACAAACATATATAATTTGATTCAAATAACTTGTTTTGGAATGCATTTCTCGTTGGGAAAAAAAGTACTATGGTAAAGCAAGATAATTACTACCAAAATTGTCAGGATAATGGTTACTTTAGAAGACAGCAAGCCAGCTATGATTGGGGAGAATGCAGCATGGGGAGAAAATGTGAGTTACTAGCAATCTACTTTTCTTGACCTGGATTGTGGCTATGTAGAGGCACAAGTGACATAATCAAGTGACATGTTTATGTTTTATGAATTTTCTTTACATGCATTATGTTTTATAAAACCCCATTTAAAATAGCATGCAGTGTGTATTATTAATAATAGTTTTATAACAATCTTAATAAAACAGAGCTTTGTCAGTTTTATGGGGAAAAAAGTATTCTGACAAATATGGTTAAATGCAGTCATTCTTGCATTCCTTATGGTTAAATTGCAGCCACTGAAAGATGAAATTTTAGTTATTACAAATTATTTAATCATTGTATCACTTCACAATTAAGTCAGAATATTTCATTTTAATTCAATTTGATAAAAATTATAGTTTGGGGCTCCTGGGTGGCTCAGTTGGTTAAGCAACTGCCTTCGGCTCAGGTCATGATCCTGGAGTCCCGGGATCGAGTCCACATCGGGCTCCCTGCTCAGCGGGGAGTCTGCTTCTCCCTCTGACTCTCTTCCCTCTCGTGCTCTCTGTCTCTCATACTCTCTCTCTCAAATAAATAAATAAAATCTTAAAAAAAAATTATAGATTATGTTTATGACTTCTCTGTATTGGTAAGAGAAAAAATAATTGAGTGGTATACATAATTATGATAACAAAATATTTAAGCTTCTTAAGACTATGAAATTTGAGTTCTTTGTCTCTTCTTGCCTCTATAATTTGCTGGAAATTGAAATATTAAGAACAATATACTGATATTTTTCAAGAAATATCATTGGATGCAATTTTATTCTTTTGAACTGAGTGTAGCTTCGGTGATGAGTTGATGACATAACTAATAAAAATGGGATTATCAGATCTGTAAGGGATGTTTCTTCATGCTTGTGTTCCAGGCCAAGGATTGCCCTTATCATCTTCTGTTCCAAAACAAGGAAAAGAAGTTCTGCTCAATTGTGCAGAGATGTCAAAAGGCACCCTTTGGTTTTCATCATTATCAGGACTCTTGTGAAATAATTATATGGTTAAGGAGACCGAGGCATTTTTAGTAAATTCTTCCAACGCATGTCACAGCAAATGATAATTCTAAAAAAAAAACCAAACAAAAAAACACAACTATATCACTTAATCTTAAAAAAAATTTAAAAACCTAAATGGGCCATATAGGCATAAGAGTATTTCAAGTGGGATATTTTAGAAATAAGGATAATTAAAAGGAAATGGTTTCCCTTGCATATGAAATGAAAAGAGGACTTCCAAAATGTATAATTTTAAGATAAATATTTCAGAAGCTTGCCTATTTTTCAGCTTTATTGAGGTATAAATAGACAAAATCATAAGCTATTTAAAGTTGTACATTGTGATGATTTGGTGAACACATATATTGTGAAAGGATTACATCTAGTTAACATATCCATCAATCTCACATATGTATGTATTTTATTTATATAGACCAGAACATTTAAGTTCTACTCTCAGAAAATTTCAGTTATATGATATAGTGTTAACTATAGTCACCATGTTATTACATCAGATCCTCAGACTTTATTCTTCTTATAGGTGAAACTACACCTTTATACCAACCTCTCCTCATTTTCTCCAGCCTCTGGCAACCACTTATCTACTCTTTGCTTCTGAGTTTGACTTTTTTTTTTCTATTCCACATATGAGTGACACTATGAAATATTTGTCTTTCTCTGTCTGGCTTATTTCAATTAACGTGATGCCCTCAAGGTACATTCATGTTGTCACAAACAACAGGATTTCTCTCTTTCTCAAGGATGAATATAAAATATACCTCATTTTTCCTTTATCCATTCATTTGTTGATGTACATTTGTTTCTGTATCTTGGCTATTGTGAATAATGCTACAATGAGCATGGAAGAGAAAATATCTTTTTAAGGCCCAATTTTCCTTTCCTTTGGGTATGCTAGATCATATGGTAGATCTATTTTTAATTTTTTTAGGAAGCTCCATACTGTTTTCCACAGTTGACAGCACAAGTTAACATTTCCACCAAAAGTGGACAATTGTTCCCTTTTCTCCACATCTCCACTAACTTTTGTTATCTCTTGTCTTTTTGATGATAGCCGTTTTAACAGGTGTTAAGGTGATATCTCACTGTTGTTTTGATTTGTATAAACCTGCTTATTTTAAATAACATGTGTAATTATCTGAAAACACACCTGATATGTAAAGCCTGCACTGCATAGAAACATTTTATTTATTACTTTAACATTTATTCTAGTTTACTTTATTTTTGCCTCTTCTATTATTTTATTATTTTTTTATTTTTTTAAAGATTTTCTTTATTTATTTGACAGAGAGAGGCAGCAAGAGAGAGAGAACACAAGCAGGGGGAGTAGGAGAGGGAGAAGCAGGCTTGGGGCTCAATCCCAGGACCCTGGGATCATGGCCTGAGCTGAAGGCAGATGCTTAAAAACTGAGCCACCCAGGTGCCACCTATTTTTGCCTCTTTTAAATAGACTTCAATTTTTTAAAGCAGTTTAACATAACTGAGTAGAAGGTAGAGATTTCCCCATAGACCTCCTACCCCCATACATACACAGCTTATGTGTCTTTCCCACTATCAACATCCCCCACCAGAGTGATACATTTGTTACA